TGGCTGTATAAGCGGGCAGATTTTGACAGATTTAATTATCTTATTTCTGAGTATAATTGGAATGAACTTTTTTTAAATTGTGATTCAGTTGATACTGCCTGTAAGCGTTTTACAGATACGTTCCTAAAATTTGCAAATATATGTATTCCATCGAAAGATGTAACTATGAGACCTAATGATAAACCATGGATGACCTCTGAATTAAGAAAAACAATAAAAATTAGAGATAAGTTACATAAAATTGCGAGGTCAACCAAACATCTTTCGAACATCAACAAATTCAAATCTCAACGGAATAAGGTCAATAACATGAAAAAATATGCCCGTAAATTATTTTATGAAAATATTCATGGAATTATTGAAGAGTACTCGTCCTCCGATCCAAAAGCTTATAGGAGGCTCATCAAAAGGTTAATGCAATCGTCTGGTACTACACAATCTATACCTACTCTTGTAGATCCTGTTTCTGACAATGTGGTTACTAGTGATGAAGACAAAGCTAATTTATTAAATGACTATTTTTGTAATATAACTCGTGTAGACGACAGAAATACTGCGGTTCCTCTCATCGAGCCAAAAACTGACAAGAGTCTTAGGTACATTAGAGTAAATAATAATGAAATACGTGATATTTTGAAGATATTGAAGCTTGGTAAGGCCTCGGGTGAGGATGGAATCAGTCACCATATGCTCAGAAACACATCAGAAACAGCTTGTGTTCCCCTTGAAATCATTTTTAATAAGTCTTTATCATCTGGTGTTTACCCAATCTCTTGGAAAACAGCCAAAGTTATGCCACTGTTTAAAAAAGGTGACAGGCATTCTCCCTCTAACTACAGGCCAATTTCCTTATTATCTACAGTTGGAAAAGTGTTTGAGAGGGTAATTTTCAAATACTTACAAAATTATTTTATTGAAAACTCACTTTTTTATAAGCACCAGTCCGGTTTTTTGCCCGGTCATTCTACTGTATATCAGCTCATTGAAATTTATCATAACATCTGTATTGCTCTAGAAGAAAAAAACATGTATGTATGGTATTCTGCGATATTTCTAAGGCTTTTGATAGGGTTTGGCATAAGGGTTTGATGATTAAGTTAAAATCCTATGGAATTTCAGGGGAATTGTATGATTGGTTGGAAAATTACCTATTTCAGAGGCACCAGAGAGTCTTTTTGAATTCTTCTTACTCCGACTTAGGTTTCATTGAAGCAGGTGTTCCTCAGGGTTCGATTCTTGGACCCCTTGGTTTCTTATCTATATTAATGATATTGCTGATGTGTTTGAATCAACTTCTCGTCTTTTTGCAGACGATACCTCTTTGTTAAAATCATCCTCTTCATGTCTAGAAATCCAGGCGATTATGAATAGAGATCTTGAGTCTCTTAATGCATGGTCCCAAACTTGATTAGTAACATTCAATCCAGAAAAAACTGGGGTAATTTTTGTTTCAAACTTGGTTGAAATTGATGAAGATTTACAATGAGAATTTAATGGCGAATTTTTAAATTTTACTGATCATCATAAACATTTAGGTGTAACTTTTAATTCAAGTGCAAATTGAGGGGATCATATTTGTGCAATATATACTTCAGTCAACGTCTTACGTAGACTAAAATACTTATTAAATCGTGATAATCTTTTAAAGATTTATAAATCATTATTTTACCAGTTTTAGAATATGCTTGTGAATTGTGGGATGGTTGTACAAATTATGAAACTGAAATGTTAGAGAAAGCCCAAAGAGAAGCGTCTCGTATTATAACTGGTCTTTCTTCATATGCACGAATTGAAGACTTACTTTTTGAAACTGGTCTAGAAACTCTTTC